TTACATTTTTACCCAAAAATTCTCTTTTTATCAATCCTGGACTCACATTTATAAGTTTTAAGTATAATACTTTTCATTGTCGACAGTTAAACATATTTCTTTGCTGTCAACTATAAGCTTGACTTTAACCATTGTTGTTGTCATCTTTAATCATTTTTATCTGATCCAAACAATCCTACTTTCTGTTCAGATTAGTTTGATCACAATTCAGTTAATCCTAGATGAACATCACTAAAACCCAATACATTATAAAACTTCAAGCCAACCAATGCTGTATGTCATTGGACTAGATAACAACTATACTACTAATAAATTATGAAACAATTTAATACTAGTGGGAGATGTTAGGTGCCACCTCTTAATAAATTTAATAGGTATAATTTTTAATTAAATAATTTAGATCTACTGGAAGAAAAAAATTGGCCTGGAGCAGGACTTGAACCCGCAACACTCGCTTACCATGCAAATGCATTGCCAATTACACTACCCGGATCTCTGATCCGATCTTGTCTTTTAGTATATTTATAACATTACATTATAACCATCATTGGTTATTACAGTGCCTTGCCAGGGTTTGCAATGGCCAATTGAGTGCCTCAGGAGGGAACTATAAAACTATCTTAAATACTAAATACATTTTAAAATTTTAACTTAACATTCAAACACACATTTTTGTTTATAATAAATTAAAAATGTTGCTGGAAAAAATATTTAAGTTGTTGTTCAATCTAAATTAGTTTTACTTTTGTTAGAAGTGTTTTTTTATAGTAAATTAAATTATATATAGTAAAAACTTCTTAAACATATTGATATTAATAATTTAAAAATAGATGTTAAGTAATAAATATTTAATATAAAATTATGACTTACTGGTACAAATAATAATTGTGGATTTTGTTTTAACATTGTTTTAATTTATGCAATGTGACTGGATAGGGATAGAAGAACTATACTAATTTTTATAGTAAATACTCACTCCCTTAGATTATTTAATTGCTTTTACTTAGATAAGATAACACTATAACAAACAATTTAAAAGATATTTTTCAGTTAATCATTTATCACTTTAAATGTGGATAGTAGTAGTTTAAAATTAGATTCAAATGATAAATTTTTATGTTAGAACATCATGATACTGTAAGTATTCTATTATTTAACATCAATTAACAATTCAGAAATCCCTGAAAATTAACATATTTATATATAAATTTTAAAATGTAAATTATTTTAAATGTTATTATAAACAAATTGTTTATGTAAAATATTGAAGTAAAAAAAACATGTTGTTATTCTCATATCAGACCTTTATATACTGTATATTAAACATCACATTTAGAAAATGCTCAATATCTTATCTTCATTGTTGGAAGTCAAATACATTATCCAAGTTTTTAAAATAAAAAGTAAATAATTAAACATACTGAATTAAATTAATGAAAACATCTAAAATATTTATATTGTTAGTATTTTAATATTTCTTTGTATTATTTATATTTGTAAAATTACTATTTAAATTTAAGATAGCCTGTTAATTTTCCTAGTTTGCATATTTTCCTTCTAATAACTTACAGATACCTTCCACACTTATTTTAGTACATACATTTATTGAAAAAAAACAAACATTTTTGATCACTTTCAAAAACCTTCATCAGGTTATGTTTCCAAAAATCAAACACAATTAATTGAAAAATTTGAAAAAGGAGAATTCTATATTTTATTATTTATTATATTTTCTTGCTTTTAGAGGTTTTATTTACATTCTATTTCTCATAGCTGATAAACTGTCTAAATCAGCTATAAAAAAAATAGCATGGATATATTAGTAAGAAGTTAATATAAAAATAGTTTAAATATAATTTAATCCAATAATAAAATTATGCAGGATAGTTATAAAAGTTAATCTTGCTTGTTATAGAAAAGTGCAATTTGAAACAATATGGATAAAAGAATTTATAACTAAAAATACAGTGGTACCTCAGTATATGTCTGCTTTAGAATATGTCCAATTTGGAATATGTCCTGTTTGGACGAAATAAATTTTGCTCAGTATATGACTTAATTCAATTATATGCACCATCTACGAACAAGTAGCACTATCGGTGTACTAGACCAGACTAGACGTTCACGGTGCAATGGTTTATAACTTGGTTAATTTTCTTCTGGTTTTAATTTGTATGTAAAATTTTATTATTTTTATGAGTCATAAATCGCAAAAAGGCAAATGAAAAGCGACATAAAACTAAAAAAATGACTAAAATCACAATGGAACGGAAAAAAGAGATTATTCAGAAATATGAAGGTGGCACGTGTGTTCGAGATTTTAACTGTTGCATACCATATTCCGAGAACGACGATATCGACAATCGTGAAAAATAAAGACATTATTAAATCTGCTAACGTTGCAAAAGGAGTTAAATCAATTTCTAAACAGAGATCGAAGACATTAGATTGTGTCGAGAAATTGCTTTTGCTTTGGATAACTGAAAAACGTGTGCTGGCGACAGCATACCTAAAGCAATTATTTGCGAGAAAGCTAAAAAAATACATGCTGATTTCGTGAAAAATCAAGCGGGAACTAGCCAGGAAAGCGAGGTGTTTAAAGCCAGCCATTTTTTTTTATGTGAGAATGGATTAATTATTTTTACATTACTTCTTATGGGAAAGGTTGGTTCGGTATACATCCAATTCGGTATAAGTCCAAACATCAGGAACGGATTAAGGTCGTATACCGAGGTTCCACTGTATTTAAAATTATTGTTCTTAATTATATTTAATAATAGTAGTAGTAAATTACATATAAGACAAGATATTTTTCAAGGATTCATTAAGTCACTTTGGTTTTGTCTGTCCATAAACCCATTGACCAATAGGTTAAAAAACATTAAATACAGATATGTCAAACATAACAGAACAATAATACACCAGTGGTAAGCTATGACATTTGATGATAGGAAAGCTGTGCCAGCCCTGGATAGAATCATCGGAAGCGTTATATGATATTTTGGTTTGTAGCATCCACCAGCTAACCACATGAAGTTGGTGCTCTGTAAAGCGCATGCATATAATCTAGCTGCTTTATATGATTCAAATATTTTGGACGTAGAAGCTATCCTGTATTTGACAATATAGCGCTTCCATTGGGAATATGAATATACAAATTTATATTCGAATATACAATAGCAATCTTATCATTTTTTTTCACATGTAGTATAGAAATTTGTAACAAGATACATAATATGGTTATAATAAAATATTAATTTTAATTAATTCAAAGTATGTTAAAATATGAAAATCACACAATATGTATTTATATTTTATAAAATACAAGGAAAGTGGCGCTTCCACTGCTTCCATGGACGGCACATCACTGCAATACACATCTCACATCATGATGACAAAAACTATATATCCATACAAGCACAACTAAAATCATCTATTAGAAGTTACACATACATAATCCACTGAAATTCAAATCACATTTGACTTAAACAAATGTAGAACACTTCACATAAAAAACGAGAAATCCTGAAAAAAGATTCTGTACTCTGAAATGGAGATATTGAATCTATGGAGGAGAGTGCAGTTTATACATACTTAATTCCAACAAGATAAACTCACAGAACACAATAACAAAAGAATACAATAACAGATTAAAGTCACTACTAACACCACATCTAAATGTAAAACACATTTCAAACAATCAATACATACATAATTCCAGTACTCACATATTTAGGAGTTATACATTTGACACATACACATTGTAGAACTCTTCCACAAGAAAAACAAACAACATTAACAAAACAAGCACTACCCTAAGTCATCCATAGAAAGGTATAGATTATATATTTAATTTTGTAAATGTTATATTACATTATATAATAATGATTGTTAAAAAGTATACAAATGTCAATGCAATGTAGAATTTATTTAATATTAAAAATATTTTCTAGCTCCAGTTTTGATATTTTTCTACCCATGTTGCTATCATCATCAACTCTGGATTCATTGCCCATTGGTGTCTGACACCTTTTCCACTATTTTCTTCCATTTCTCTCTATCCATTGCCATTTTTCTCAATTCCTGTACATTTGCTCCACACCACTTCTTCACGTCATCAATCCATTCTCTATATGGTCTGCCTCTTTTGTTGGATCCATCCATAATACAATAGACTAAAGTCTTAATTTTTCTGTTTTCATTCATTCTTGTGATGTGTCAGTTGAAGTTTTCATTGTATAATTTTTTATAAGAGATTCTTTTTCATATATATCATATTATAAAGTTCTTCGTTTATGACTTTCTGCATCCATCCTATTTGCAAGATCTTTCTGTAACAGTGTCTTTCAAATGCTAATATTTTTCTTTCTATATCTTTTGTTATTATCCATGTCTCACAGGCATATTGCACAGGAGAAGATGCAGGTGTTCAATATTTTTAATTTTGTCTGCAAACTAATTGCTTTAGTTTTCCAGATTTTGTCCATTGCTTTCAAATTTGTTTTTGCCTTGGCTATTCTAATCTATATTTCTTTCTTGCAATCTTGATTATAGGTTATTGCTTCCTAAATATGTAAAGCTCTTTACATTTTCAATGTTTTTCTCATCTACTAGGATGTTTCTTGTCATGTTCTTATCACCAAATATCTTTGTCATCACCAAATATCAAGTTTTTTCGCTATTGATAGTCAGTCCATATCTTTTTCCTTCTTCATTAAGCAGGTGTAATGTTTTCTCTAGTTGTTCTTCACTTTCTTCAACGATAACTATATCATCTGCAAATCTCAGGTTATTGAATTTTACACCGTGAACTGATGTTCCCTGCATCTCGTGTCATCTTATCCATGAATCTTTCTAACTTGTAAGAGACTTATGAAGATGGTTAGAAATATAAGATCTCCCTGTCTGGTGCCTCTTTTTGGTTTAAACCAGTTTCCTAGCTCCCCCATGCAATCTCACAGTTGCTTCTGCATTATCATTAATATAACTTAGCAGGTTTATTAGTTATGATCCATTCCATAAGATTTTAGCACTGCCAAGGTGAATTTTTGGTCTATGCTGTCAAATGCCTTCTGAAAGTCCACAAAACAGGAATAGATGTTTTTCTGCTTTCTTGTCTTTTCAACTAATAGCCGTAATGTTAGTATCTGCTGTGTTGTACTTCTGTCTTTCCTGAAACCTGCCTGTTCATCTGCTAAGTGTTCTTCCATCAAACTACTTAGTCCCTCCTTTAAGATCATCATCAGAATTTTTCCTATGTGGCTTGTTAAAGCAATCGTTCTATAATTTTTACACTCTAACATGCTGCCTTTCTTATGTATTGCCACCAATACTGATTTTGCCCATTCTTTAAGTATCTTTCCTTGTTTCCATACCTCATTGCACACTTGGTGTATCTCATCAATTAAGCTTTCGCCTCCATGCTTAATCATTTCTCCTGTAATTTTGTCATGTCCCTTATTGTCTTTTAACCATTTCACTGCCCTTTCAACTTTCTTCCTTATAATATCATATTCATTTTCAACACTTGGTGGAAATATCTTCCTTAATTCAGCTACTAGATTCTCTAATACATCTGTATCTAATGTTTCCTTGTATAGTTCAGAACAATAACTTGTCCACCTCTGTAGGGTTTCTACTTCTACCCTGTCCACTAAAACCTCTCCCTTCTCATCTTTGATTGCCATTTGCTTTGGTTTCCATTTCTGGTTGACATTTCTGATCATCTTTTATACTTCTCTAGTCTTACATTCTCCATAATATTTTTCTATGTTTCTACACTGATCTTCTAGTCATTTCGCTTTATCCATCCTAACTGCTTTTTTCACTTCATTGTATTTTACCTTATACTGTTTTCCCAACTCTTCAGAAATGTCTCTTCTAAGCCTAAGAGCTTTTTTCTCTTGGACAAGCTTTAGGGTCTTTTGTGTGATCCATTTCTTGTTGATTTTTTCTTTTTCTGGTAGGGTTTGCTCAATTGCTTCTCTTATTGCCTTTGTTATTTCTTCCACTCTTGTGTCTAGCTCTTCCATCTTGTCTAGATCTTTATCTTCTTCTTAAGTGTATTTCTATGCTCCCTGTTTTCTCATCTTTTAGCTTTGTAATGTCTCTTTTCTTTTGGAAATGTGCATTAACTTTCCTCTTCAGTTTTATCTTTATGTTTGCAATGACTAAGCTGTGATCAGAATCTATGTCGGCTCCCTGAAAGGTTTGACACTGCTGAACTGATGTTGACCATCTCCTTTCGATCAAAATCATATCAATCATGTTTCTTGATGTTCCATCACTTGATCTCCATGTCCATTTTCTACAGTTCTTTTGCTGGAATTTGGTGTTGCACATCATTAAATCTTGATCTAGGGCAAATTCAAGCAGTCTTTCCCCTTGTTCATTTCTTGCTCCATGTTGCTATGAAAATATTAATTGTATGCTGCTTTAAAAAAAATTGTGTTTTATATAATTAATGCATCAAATACATAAATATTGACAATCAGATGACTGAGACAGTAAGGGTTGTTGCACTGGAGGACTCAGATTTGAGTGTAGGTTGGCTCAAATTATGGGTAGGTTGATCCAGATGTATTGGAACCTGTCCCTCTTACTATGAGTCAACTGAACCCATAAAAGGAACCAAAAAAAAACGAGCAGAAGACAATAACTACAGAAGAGTGAGAGAAACTAAAACTTATGGAAAACTAAGAACTTTTTTAAGAAACTTTTACTTTCCAGGCTGTTATATATAACAGAGGAAAATTATGGCAATCAGTCAAAACTCCCCCCAACATTTTTACATTTTTGGGCTCAGGACACCTTAAAACATTAAGAAATGGAAAAAAATCAAGGGTTTTTTCTGTATGTATGAATGGATGTTAATGTGTGGGGGGCACAATTTTGTTTACCGCTTTGAAGCTTAATAACTCTGTGCTTTTTGTCAAAAATTTCTGAAATTTTGCAGTAAGGTTTGTTTATCAGAAGAATTGCTGTTAAATTTTGGTGATTAAAGGTCAAGGGGGTAGGGAGATAAAGGGAATCATGTGTATTTCCAGTAGGATCAGACTTAATGACAATTTTACTTATTAACGTTTACTTTTTATAAAACCTATCCCTACCATCTCTTATAAAATGCAAAATTAAGCTTTTTGCCATTAAGTCTCAAGCCTTAAGCCATGGTCACACCTTGCAATTTTCAGCCACACAGGCAACTGCAATGTCTGTTTCCAATAATTAATAAACTCCCTCCAAAAACTGACATGACAGCAACCACAACTAGAAACAAGTTTCTTCTACTTACACTGATTATAAATGTGCATCCAATCAGGAAATGCCTTTGTGCCACATCATACAGTGGCAACTTTGAAAATAGTTCATTATTATGGCAGAAATGGAGAGGTCCAGTGCAGCTTTTAAAAAATTGAGATTGATTGAGCTTATTCAGGCTCACAAATGCTTGTGGAATTTTAATTCTTCATTTTATCAAAGAAAAGATAAAATAGTGCAAGTATAGCATAGGATAAGTGAAAGTCTCAGCATTGATTTTATCATTTTTACATTTTTGGATATAATATGTTAATGTTAATTGTTTTTAGTTTAGCAATGACATTATTATTTTAAATATAGCTAAAGAACTAAGTAAAAAGGACTATCATTTGCAAATGGCATTCCTTCTCATTAAAGAAAAAGTAGAAGATAGCAGACAAAGTGGATGTTTGTTTATTATAAGATAATGTGTTTCCAAGTTGCAATGCCAATGAACAATGTAACCATGACAAGACATGCACAACTCGTGCTCATTGCAGTTGCAGATGTCTGCATGGCTGGAAATCGCTAGGTGTGACCACTGCTTCAGATAACAGAATCATTCATTTTTGTTTCTGAAATGTGCACAATGAACCACACTGTATTTATGTTTATGTCATACTGCTTTGTATCTTATATGTATAATTAATAAAATAGTTTAATGTCCAGTACTTCATGATGTGTATAATTTATTAGTACAATTAAGGTCAAGTCAATCAAGGATATAGGAAATTTTGGCAGTGGATGTGTGCAACAACATTCTTGAAGTGGGATGGTAGATGAAAAGTATAAAAACAACATTATATAATTAAAGCAGTAAGATGAAAAAGGGAACTTGTATTTTTCTCAAAAATACAAAACCATGACAAAAAACTTCACCAGTCTTATTATTACTGGAAATAAAATTTTACTTCCATTATTAGCAAAATGCATTCAATGTAGCTTATCAATGAAAATTTTGTTTGAATCATATTACATTGTCTTTAAAATGACAATTACAAATGCTAGAAAGTCCTCTTTCTGATCTCATTAGAAGTTTTGAAATAAATTAAAACTTTCAAAAAATACACATTTAGTAAGTGGTATATAAAGTTAAAAAGTTACTGAAACTTCCTTTCTTATATTTATGTAATAACAAATATAGTAAAGAACAGTAAGAATAAATAACTCAGATAAATCATAGCATTAGCCTGGCCAGTTTTACCATTTCACAAACCTTACTATGAAACATTTATTAATTAACATAGATAGTTAAAGTTTTTTTTAGAGAATGTTAAGAACGATGTTATTTTTATAAATATCCACATTTTTTTGCTTAGGGAAATCAACTACTCTTGTGTTGGACCTGATATTGGCACATTGTGATTTATAGCATACATTAATGCTAAGATATATTCCTGAGCTTGTTTTCTTCACTATTACTACTATTCGATAACTTTGAGCCTAAACATTTTTGAGCCAATTCAGCTGCATCATTGAATGTGTTTACAATGAAATTGTAAGACAGGTTGAATATAAGTGCAAAAGCCAGAGAAGGCGTAAGTCCTTTCTATAACTTCATTTTCAGGGTCACCTATATTGCTGATAATCTTATTTTATCATCAAATGGTGTAAGTTTGTTCATATATAAATTTTATACACAAACACATATTGGTCTTAACTTTTATAAATCAAAATCATTGACATATGACAAATCCCTTTTGATCTCACTGCTTTAATTTATAGACTGTCCCTTAAGTGATGACTGAAATATGTTTGAAGGCCAGATTAACATGTGCCATGGTCTGGATTTGGCTCGGAGACTGTAGTTTGGTCATCACTGTGGTATTTCATAACAAAATTTAACTATTTATCATATATGTATTATATATGAATACTGTCTAATGAATAATTTAGAAAAATCTTTAAAAATATCCATTTTTTAGATGTGTCTAGTTAAATCAGAAGGAACATCATGAGATATTTTGCTGAAAAAAAAAAATATATTTTTTTGTTATATAGGAATGGCCTACAACCCTAACAGTGCTAATAACATCCATTAGAGAAAATCTTGCCAATATTTTTATAAATCTATTTTTTGTTCTACTTACTTTAAAATGTAGAAAAATCTTCCAGGATCCATAGAGGCACAGAAGATTCCCTCTACATAATTTTAAGACAACAAACTAATAATATCTAATTATAGCCAGGGGCCAATACAGGAGTGGGAAAGGTGGGTAGCCACCCAGGGAGATTGCTAGAGGTGACAAAATTGGCCAAAGAAAATAAAAATAATAAAACATTCTTAATTTCAGATAATTATTTTACTTCTTGAAAATACTTTAGTAGTTAAATGTGTGAGGACCAAGCCCTCAGATCTTTTGATTAAAATTACACTACAACTATTTAAAAACAACTATCTTGCCCAGGGCAGCATAATTGCTAGATTGACCACAACTGTAGCTATAGAATTAGTTGTAAATTATGATATACAACTGCAGTGGTAAAATTGCTTTATTTTTTTTCCATTTCCAGACCCAGGTCCCTAGACATGTCTGGTGGATAATCCTGCAAAGAATATTGTTACGTTCACGTTTGTTGGTTCTAAAAATAAATATCCAATTTCATTCACTGTAAGAAAAAATATATAATTGAAAAAGACATTACATCAATGTTTTTTGAGTTATTACAGTAAACATTTGTACCGTTTTATACAATATTTTGTTTAAATTAAAGGTATTATACAATTTTGAATTAATTCTTCTGAAATGTAAAAGTGAAATTAATAATTTCAACACGACTCCTTTATTTTATAATTTACACGATTACTTTTATATAAAATAAACACTTACGGCCAGTTTTTCTGTATGAGTTGTCATTTTGTTAAGTGGTAATTTGTGTAAACTTATCGAAAGCAAGCGGCACAAATTATAATTACTTGGAAGTATAACAAACTTCTATTTCTTTCATTTTCTCCTTGCAGACGACAGCCAAGGACTCCGTTTAATTACCGATTTAACCGGCAGATGGCAATTCGGTTCTCTTCTGGCATAAAATGATGCAAATAAAATATTTGTTTAATATTTTTTGATAAAATTCTAATTTTTTTAGCATTTAATTAATTAAGTGTGATCTACATCTTCAATAAAAAAAATCAATTAAAAGAATAAATCCTAATCATGAATTTCAGGATAAAAAAATTAACTTTCAGAGTCTTCTGATCAAGCGTACAAATATAAAAATTAGAAACAATATACCAAATATAAATGTAAAAAATATAAAGTATAAGATAGAAATAAATATAAATTACAAATAAACTGAACAGCAAAAAAGTTTAAAATTTTATATTTAAATACAGTGGCGCATTTTCCTGTGAGCAAAAAGGGCAATCGGGCCTATCAGTGGCCAAGCGGTTCCTTTCCCTGAACCAAGCACGAGCCAAGCGCGGACC